TTTATGTAGGTATGAGTGCCATCATGTATGGTAAGAGAAGTGTGTGTAAATATTGAAGGAATCAAGGGGTGGACTATAACTGACACTGTCCGTCAGCTACTTAGAACTTATTCCCTGACTCGTTCCTCTTAACAGACTTTAACTTTGTTTAGGTATCCACCTTCCATGGGCTACCACGTATACCTCTTGGAAAGCTAACTCTTTTCTTAGCTCTGGAGAGTGGATCTAAGTAATCTAAATATAATCTCACCTCTATTGCCAATGACTTGGTTAAGGAAGACATAAGTGGTTCCACTGTTTGAGATAGATGGATTCTTTTTTTTTTTTTTTTTTTCCTTTTTTTTGGAGAGGTTTTTTTCTTATTGGGTGCAGGCACTCGCCAGAAAGACAGAGAGAGACAGAGAGATAGAAAGCGAGAAATCACCACCCCCAGGAGGGATGGCCACGCCACAATCCCTTCCCCTCCATTCTCCTCTCAGGATCTTGGGCACTGTCTGGGACTTGAACCGCAGTCGACTACATGGGAATCCAGCGACATAGCCAGTGCGCTAACTGCTGGTCCCGAGATAGATGGACTCTTAACACTACCTTTGCATGTGGGAGATCCACAGCTGGGGACACTGGAACATGAAGAAGTTACAAGCTTTTCCGATTCAGTTTCCAAATTAGCACTAGAAGCTAAATAGTGTTTTTGTTTGCCTGTTTATTTTTTCACTTCCTCCATGGAGATGGTCAGGGAGGAGAGAGAGAGGTGCCCCCCCCATAGGGTGTTCATGCAATGATCCAGATTAGGGCACTCAATACACTTGTCATGTTCTGGGATGTCCTGGGCCACGAACCCAGGACTTTGTCATGTGAGTCCAGTTGTGTTACCACTGTGCTACTGTTTGACTTTGAAATGGTATTTTTTTTTTTAAAAAAAGGAATTATTTTATTTAACTTTATTTATTTACTTATTTTAGGTTCGGGACTTGAACTGCAGTCGGCCATGTGGGAGTCCAACACCCTTAACCACCACACCACCTGTTGGCCCCTGAAATGGTATTTTTACTGAAGCAGTTCAGTGATCTCAATGTTGGCTTATAACATGTGGCCTAATGTGTTCAAATCACTTCTCAAGGCAAAGTTTATCTGTTTCTATCTGACCGAGCTCTTGATCATTCGTGTGGAAGTGAATAAGGCCTCATTGTGATCAAGGGTATTAGATCTCCTTGCAACTCATGGTGTCATAAATCAGAGCCCTGTGGTTGACTTGGCCTTTCAGTTTCATCCACGATAACAATGGGAGCTCTGTTTTCCAAACTGAACTGGATTCATAGCTAAAGTCAGCCTTGGGAGTGATTGCTTTTCTCTGGCATTATATCTTCATTTCCCCTGTAATTCACTCGAACAGGAATGTCTGTGGCTTACGCCAAGAAATAGCAGCCCATTCACCTTTATAAGTGCTCTTGGAATGCTTGATATATTTAATAATTGGGCCCTAGTGATGTTTTAGTTTTATGTCCATCAGTATTTCATTCTTGAATAAATGAAGAGTTTGTTATTTTCATTCCTTCCTTCAAGAAACATTCTTGGAGCACTTGCTATTTCAGGGACTGTGTTGGGAGTTTGGGAGGTGGTGATGTGTTGGGAGTTTCGGAGGTGGTGATAAGACCCTCATCTTTTTTTTTTTTGGAAGGGAGAGGTTTTTTTGCTATAGGGCGCGTGCGCTCGCTAGACAGACAAGAGAGAGACAGAGAGACAGAAAGCGAGAAATCACCCTCCCCCAGGGGGGATGGCCACGCCGCAATCCCTTCTCCTCCATTCTCCTCTCAGGATCTTGGGCACACACATACACGCACCCGGCGTGAGTTTAAGCCACCGGGTCCGGGACTCGAACCGTGGTCAACTATGTGGGAGTCCAGCGACATAGCCATTATGCTAACTGCTGGTCTCAAGACTCTCATCTTATGCCTCCTCTTTTAGAGAAACATTAGCAAGTATTAGCTCACATGAATCTGCTCACAAGGGTAAACACTGTGGCTGCTCACTGGAACACTGCTGTAGCAACAGAGGGGAACCAGTTCACCGTCCCTCAGTAGGAAAACAGCTAAATAAATGGTAATTTATTCATATATTGGACTATTAAATAGCAGTTAAAATACATGTAAGAAGGTACATATTATAACAAGAGTAAATGTTAAAACTGTATCAGCCAAAAAATGAGTAGTTAAAGGGTACAAACAGGTTCACATTGTTTATATAAACCTTAAAGATAAAAATCTCTATAAGAGTATATCTTTTCCTTTTTTCTTTCTTTTCTTTTCTTTTCTTTTTCTTTTTTTTTTTTTTTTAGGTTTTTTGCCATATGGAGCTTGCACTTGCCAGGGAAGAGAAAGAAAGAGAGAGTGAGGGAGAGAGAAAGACAGTGATTGAGAAATCATGCTCCAGACAGATTGATGGCCATACCACAATCCTTTCTCCATTTTTTTCTCAGGATTTTGGGCATGCATACACATGCTCTTGGCATATTTTTCATGCCACCAATTCCAGGACTCTAACTGTGGAGTTGGCCAGGTAGGATCCAGCACCTTAACCACCACACCACCTTCTGGCCTGTTTAAGAATATATCTTGATCATGGGGCCAGTAGTTAGCGTAATGGCTATGTCACTGGACTCCCATGTAGCTAACTGCAGTTCGAGTCCTGGACCCGGTGGCTTAAACTCACGCCGGGTGCGTGTGCGTGTGTGCCCAAGATCCTGAGAGGAGAATGGAAGAGAAGGGATTGCGTCCTGGCCATTCCCCCTTGGGGGGGGTGATTTCTCGCTTTCTGTCTCTCTGTCTCTCTCTGTCTTTCTAGAGAGCGCACGTGCCCTATAGCAAAAACCTCTCCAGAAAAAAAAAGAATATATCTTGATCATGAATTCATATATATATGACATAAAAATACAAAAAGATGCTTTAAGATGGGAATTTCCTCTTGGAAGGAAAGAATGAGGGAAATACATGGGTGAGGCTATAGCTGGTAAGTAACATTGTGTTTTTTAGAGTAAGATAAGGTCAGTTAGACAAAACATTAGTACAGTTACATGCCACATAAAGATGTTGAAGTCAGTAATGGACTGCATACACAACGGTGGACCCACAACGACCTATGACTATACCGTACCCCATCTAAGTTGTGTAAGAACACTAAGGCAACATTTAAATAAAAGAAAAACACAGTGGCATTATCTGTGGAGAGCTCATATTTTAATGAGAAAGAGAAACTAGCGAACTAAGAATGGCTTGATAAATCCTGATAACATAAAAGAGAGACAGAAGAGCTGCTGACAGGGAACCAGCAGTTAGTGTAATGGCTATGTCGCTGGACTCCCACGTAGTCGACCGCGGTTCACGTCCTGGACCCGGTGGCTTAAAACTCACGCTGGGCGCGTGTGTGTGCATGCCCAAGATCCTGAGAGGAGAATGGAGGAAAAGGGATTGCGGTGTGGCCATCCCCTCTGGGGGGGATTTCTCTCTTTCTCTGTCTGGTGAGCGCACGCCCTATAGCGAAAACCTCTCCAACAAAACAAAACAAAACAAAAAAAGAGCTGCTGACAGATCAGCCTGGGAGTATGGGAGGGCCTCTTGGAAGGGATGATGGCTGACAAAGTGTTGAAAAGCTATATGGGTTAGGAGAACAGGTTGGGGAAGAACATTCCAGGCAGAGAATATCGCTACCATTGATAACTCTGGAGCATTTGGTAACAACACCCACGATTAAAAATGTATGGTGTAGGGCCCCAGCAGTTAGCGTAATGGCTATGTCGCTGGACTCCCATGTAGTCAATCACAGTTCGTGTCCTGGACCCGGTGGCTTAAAACTCATGCCGGGTGCATGTGCGTGCGTGCCCAAGATTCCAAGAGGAGAATGGAGGAGAAGGGATTGCAGTGTGGCCATCCCCCCTGGGGGGTGATTTCTCGCTTTCTGTCTCTCTGTCTCTGTCTGTCTGGTGAGCGCATGCACCCTATAGCAAAAAATCCCAAAAAACAAAAAAAAACCTCTCCACTAAAATGTCGGGGTTGAGGGGAAATGACCTGACAGTTTTTTGACTCTCTGAGTAGCACCATGGCAGTTGAAAGGACCAAGAATCTTACAAAAGGCAGCAAAAAGGGAGCCAAGAAAAAGGTGGTTGAACTACTTCGTAAAAAAGAACGATACCATGTCAAAGCACCTGCTACATTCAATATAAGAAGCAAAGGGAAAACACTAATCGCCAGGAACGCAAATTACAGCTGACGGCCTTAAGGGCCATGTGTTTAAAGCGACCCTTGCAGAGCTGCAGGACGCTGAAGTCACATTGAGAAAACTCAAGCCAATTACTGAGGATGTTCAGGGGAAAAACGGACTGACTTCCATGGCGTGGATCTTACTCATGACACAATGTGTTTGATGGTCAAAGAACAGGAGATCATGATTGAAGCTCATTTTTTAAAAAGAATAATTTACTTTATTTTATTTATTATTATGGTTATTTTAAATTTTGCTATAAGGCACATGCACTCAGCAGAGAGAGACAGAGAGAGAGAGAGTGAGAAAGTGAAAAAGCAAGCTGCTAGTTCTGAGAGTCAGACCGCAGTCAGTCATGTGGGATTGGCGTCCCAACCATCACTCCACCTGCTGCCCTGATGCTCATGTTGATGTCAAGACTACCAGTGGTCGGGACCAGCAGTTAGCGTAATGGCTATGTCGCGGGACTCCCATGTAGCTGACCACGGTTTGTGTCCCGGATCCGGAGGCTTAATCTCACGCTGGGCCTGTGTGTGTGTGCGCATGTGCGTGCACCAAGATCCCGAGAGGAGAATGGAGGAAAAGGGATTGTGATGTGGCCATACCCCCTGGGGGGGCGATTTCTTGCTTTCTGTCTCTCTGTCTCTCTCTGTCTTTCTGGCGAGCGCATGCGCCCTATAGCAAAAAAAAAAAAAAAAAAAAAAAAAAAGACTTCAAATGGTGGCACTCACTTTCAGTTTCCCAGTATGGCCTGTACTATGGAATCACTGGCAAAGACGATTTTTAAAGGACTTTTAGTAGCTGAACTTATGGGCATTTTGGGAGCATATTTTTTGTTTACTAAGATGAACACGAGCCAAGATTTCAGGCATACAATGAACAAGAAATTCCCTTTCATCTTAGAAGTTTATTACAAATCCATTGCGCAAGCTGGAGTGTATGGGATCGGAGAACAAGATCAAGAAAAATGGCTGATTAGCAAAAATGAGGACCAGTCATCATGCTCAGCCTCCCATCTCAGCTGTTTGAGACCTGCGGGAGAAGGAAGATGCGCCTTGCACTCTGCAAACTTTTGGTGGCTCCATAGCACATCCTATGGAGTACCAGGGTCTTCTGCTCTGCCCTGGCTTGAGTTTCCCACCCACTGTGCAAGTCAACTACTTGTTCGTTGCTTTTCTTTTGTATTTATTGTTAACTACCAACATTTTACAAATAGACTACGGAAGGAAAAGGAAAAAAAAAAGACTACCAGTGGTTATTTGCTCTCTTTTCTGTTGTTTTCTCTATAACAAAAGAAGAAGAAGAAGAAGAAGAAGAAGAAGAAGAAGAAGAAGAAGAAGAAGAAGAAGAAGAAGAAGAAGAAAAGAAGAAGAAGAAGAAGGAGAAGAAGAAGAAGAAGAAGAAGGAGAAGAAGAAGAAGCAGTCAGCTATGGAATCCCTCTTACGCTCTGCATCAGCAGGTCTGCCAAATCTGGAAGAAGATGTTGGAAATCATGACTTGAAAGAAGTGGTCGTCAATAAAGTGACTCCAGACAGCACTGGAAAAGACAAAGAAAAGACTTGACTATGTATCGTCTCCATGATGTCTTCATCAAAAAAGTAGAAATGTGGAAGGAGCTCATGTTACAATAGAATTGGGGAAACTCATGGAGTTTCAAGATGAAGATAGTTCCAGAAAAGCTACTGGGAACGAGATGAGGGCTAAAATGGAATGAGCTGCAGGGTATAAATCACAAATCCAAGAATCCATTTAAAGTTCAGGGGACCAACAGTTGGTGTAATGGCCATGTCACTGGACTTCCATGTAGTCGACTGTGGTTTGAGTCCTGGACCCGGTGGCTTAAACTCACGCCGGGCACGTGTGAGTGCATGCCCAAGATCCCTAGAGGAGAATGGAGGAGAAGGGATTGCGGCGTGGCCATCCCCCCGGGGGGTGATTTCTCGCTTTCTGTCTCTCTGTCTCTCTGGTGAGTGCACACACCCTATAGCACAAACCTCTCAAAAAAAAAGTTCAGATTTTTGGGGCTGGCAGGTGGTGTGGGGTTAAAAGCACTGGATTCCCACATGGCCAACCATGGTTTGAGTTCCAGACCTGGCAGCTTGCTTGCTTTCTTTCCCTTTTTCTCTCTCTGACTCTGGTCAAATTGAAAAATAATAATAACAAATGGAATTAAATAAATAACTAAATAATTCTTAAAAAAAAAAAAAGTTCGAACTTTTAATAGTGACAAATAAAAAGTCCCAAATATGATGGTTTGCTTCTGGAAACAAAAGAAAGCAAAATGAAAAACAAAAGCCAAAAACCAACCTGAGGAACACTTCAGTCAAGTACAATGTATGGATCTTGGACTTGATTTGAATGGACCTTGAAAAGAAGTGATGAGGGGCTGGTTGGTGGTGTGGTGGTTAAGGTGTTGGACTCCCACATGGCCGACTGTGGTTCAAGCTCTGAACCTGGTGACTTACTTTCTCATTTTTTTCTCTGTCTCTGGTGAGCACATATGCCTTATAACAAATTAAAGTAACTAAATAACTAACTAAATAAATCTTAGAAAAAAGAAAAAAAAAGAAGTGATGAAATAATTGGAGAAATTTGAGCACTGACTGGATATTTGATGATGTCAGGGAATTACTGTTAACTTTTCTTTAGGTGTGATGATTACAATATAACTATTTATTTGAAGGAATCATATTTGATAACTACCTATTGAAATATTTCTATACAAAATGATATACTTTGTATTTATTTCAAAGTAATTGGGGGCAGCAGATATTGGGCAAGGATATATAAAAATAAGACATGTATTGATAATAACTGAATAGTACAAAAAGTATAATACAGATCATTATAATATTTCCTTTAAGCATATATTTAAAATCTTTTTCAATAAAAAATTTTCAAATGGGGAGGCAAGAGAGATGATCTTGTCTAATTCTCCTTTGTAGCTACAGAGGCTACTTTATGGAATGTCATTTACTTAAAAATGAGCATTTGCCCACTTTTCCATTCTTTTTAACTTTTCTCTTCAAAGTTTAGGTTTTTTTTTTAATTATTATTTTTTTGGGGGAGAGGTCCGCTCGCCAGACAGAGAGAGACAGAGAGACAGAAAGCGAGAAATCACCCCCTAGGGGGATGGCCACGCTGCAATCCCTTCTCCTCCATTCTCCTCTCGGGATCTTGGGCACGCACGCACACGCGCCTGGCGTGAGTTTAAGTCACCGGGTCCAGGACTCGAACCACGGTCCACTACATGGGAGTCCAGCGACATAGCCATTACGTTAACTGCTGGTTCCCTTAATTATTTTTTTTTAATGAGTCATTACAGTGGAGAAGGGAAAGCTTAGACTTAATTTTCTTGGCAGTATTGTATTAGTCTGGGAAAGATGAAATCTTCCAAGTGTGAAAATTATGTAGTTCTCATATTTCATTTGCAGAAGCCTGTGCATGCATGCCCAAACTCCCAAGAGGAGAATGGAGGAAAAGGAGTTGCAGCATGTCTACCCCGTGGATGCTTTCTCACCACTCTTCCTCTTCTCTCGTGAGAGCATGTGTCCTACAGGGAAAAGAAAAAGCAACAATGATCGTTAAACATAAGGGTATTGGCATCAGAAAGACCTGGATTAGACCCCCCTGGGTTTATTTATCTTGGGACATTAATATCATCTTTTTTTTTTTTTTTTGAAGAGTTTTTGGCTGTAGGGCGCACATGCTTGCCAGAAAGACAGAGAGAGACAGAGAGACAGAAAGCCAGAAATCACCCCCCAGGGGGAATGGCCACGCCGCAATCCCTTCTCCTCCATTCTCCTCTCGGGATCTTGGGCATACACGCACACGTGCCTGGCGTGAGTTTAAACCACCAGGTCCAGGATTCGAACCGCGGTTGACCACATGGGAGTCCAGCGACATAGCCATTACGCCATCTGCTGTTCCTCATTAATAACATCTTTAAGCTTTAGTGTGCTCAAGTTGAAAATGGGGACAATGGCAGTCCGTACCTCTCAGGAAGCTTCAGAGAGATTCCACGTGAAAGCACATGGCTGGTGCGTAGAATATGCTCTATAGATACTAGCTCTTTTGTTAATTCCTGAGCTCCCTGTGGGTATTTATTACTATTATTTTTAAGAGAGAATTTTTTGCTATAGGAAGCATGTGCTTGCCTGAGAGCCAGGGAGACAGAAAGTGAGAAATCACCTCTTCAGGGAGGTTAGCCATGCCACAATCCCATCTCCTTCAGTCTCCTCTCGGGATTTTGGGCACAAACACATAAGCACCTGACATGAGTTTTAAACTGCTGGGTCCTGGACTCAAAGCATGGTTGACAATGTGGGAGTCCAGCGACGTAACCACGAAACCATCTGCTGGTCCCTCTCTGTGCGTATTATAAAGATAATGTAGGTCCTGTGGGGCAGTGACAGAGATTGTGAAGACATGGCATGGTCTTAACACCCATGCTTAACACCCAAATTGAGGGAACCAGCAGTTAGCGTAATGTCTGTAATGTCTATGTCGCTGGACTCCCACGTAGTCGACTGTGGTTCAGGTCCCGGACCCGGTGGCTTAAACTCACGCTAGGTGCGTGTGCGTGCATGCCCAAGATCCCGAGAGGAGAATGGAGGAGAAGGGATTGCGGCGTGACCATCCCCTCTGGGGGGTGATTTCTCGCTTTCTGTCTCTCTGTCTCTGTCTGTCTGGCGAGCGCATGCGCCCTATAGCGAAAACCTCTCCAGAAAAAAAAGAAAGAAAGAAAAACACCCAAATTGAAATGCAGCAGATTTTTCTGCGCAGTGCTTGCAGTGTCTGAAGCGCTTGTGGAGCAAGGGGAGAAACCAGGCCTTGAACATGCTCCAATCAACCACCTCGAGCCCGCAAGTCTATGAAAGCAGGCTTTTGTTTAAAATGATATTCCACATGTTTTAGGGCAGGAAATTAAGTGTGTTTCTGAAAATGATGAAAAGGAGGGATTTCAAACATGTAGACACACATTGTAGGGAGTAGTCGAAACACTCTCAGCCATTCTCGCGTGCGTTTCCTACCAACTTTTATTTTTAATGAAGGGGATTGAAGTTGGTTTATTTTTTAAAAAGTGGACACTAAAAATATATCTGGACCTTTGCCTTTAAATAAACATCAGGGGTGTGCCTCCCTTGGTAGTATGAGCCTTTTGCATAAAAGTGAGCCTTTTGGAGGGTTTTTAGGATTTTTTGGGGGAGAGGTTTTTGCTATAGGGTGCGTGCACTCGCCAGAAAGACAGAGAGAGACAGAGAGACAGAAAGTGAGAAATCACTCCGCGCCCCGGAGGATGGCCATGACGCAATCCCTTTTCCTCCATTCTTCTCTCAGGATCTTGGGCACACATGCACACACACCTGGCATGAGTTTAAGCCACCAGGTCTGGGACTCGAACTCTTGTTTTTTAGGATTTTTTAAAAAAAGTTTCTTTATTCTATGAGAGAGAGACAGAGAGATGAGAGAGATGAACACTCTTGACACTATCTGAGGCCACAGGCATAGCCCATGTCATAGGGATGTGCAGGGAGACCTTGGGAAATAACCTGGAACCTTCATGTCTGGCTTCAGCACCAGCAAGCACTGCTTTACTCTTCTATCTCTCTGGGTGGCCTAATTTTGTTTCTTTGTTTTGGAGAGGTTTTGGCTATAGGGTCGGTGTGCTCGCCAGACAGACAGAGACAGAGAGACGGAAAGCGAGAAATCACCCCCCAGGGGGGTTGGTCACGCCACAATCCCTTCTTCTCCATTCTCCTCTTGGGATCTTGGGCACGCACACACACGCGCCCAGCGTGAGTTTTAAGCCACCGGGTCTAGGACGCAAACCACGGTCGACTACGTGGGAGTCCAGTGACATAGCCATTACGCTAACTGCTGGTCCCTAATTTTGTTTCTTGTAAAGACAAAATCGCAGAAGGAGTAGGTAGCTATTGGGAGACATCACCATTTCTTTTTTTTTTTTTTTTGGTCAAAATGTGTATTTTACTAAGTATAAAGTATGTAAACAATTAGGTAAGCTCGGAGCTGACCAAGGTACGTAAATTAGGAGATACACACGCCTATACAAATTGTTTCTATTTCTTTTTTACAGCGTATTTATGAAAGTAAATTGTTCGATATATCATTTCTCATTTCTCATTTCGGAAGTCCTTTATTGTAAAGAGAGTGCTTCTGCCTGATGGAAAAAGCAGCCACAGCGATTACTCTGGACCACCACGTTGGATGAATTCCATGTCTTCTTGAGACACCAGCTTCCTTCTGTCTTTCTGAGGTCAAGTTTTATTATTTCTGCCGTGTCTGGTGGACCCAGATCCGTCAACCTGTCTGGTGACTTACTTCTTCTTTTAGAATGCTGTGAAACTGCAGAAGGATGGGATGGCAGCCCTGCTGACCTCAAGCTTCTGATACGTTTGGGTTTAGGATGGTCTCTTCTGTCGGAAACTTTGTTAATGGTGTATGTGGCTTCGCTACCTGCACGACCTTGATGACAGATGCCTTCTTGCTGCCCACCATCAGTTTGTTTTTTTTAAAGAATTATTTATTTAATTTGATTTATT